CCTGTCATGTTTGTCAAGGGGGATACACTTTGTTTAGCCTTCCTTTACTGGCTGACATAGCTATAGAAGCACTTCTTATTCTCTACATCCCTTGCCAAGTTCAGCTCCAGTCACATCTTGGCTTTTCTAACTCCATCCCTACACAATTGGGCAACATCCCTATTCTCTTCCCAGCATAGTTGCCCCTGCTTCCACTGCCTGCACATTTCCTTCTTGCACTTTTGTTTGACTAGCAGGTCTCAACTCATCCATGCCAGTCTCTTGCCTTCCTTTCCTGATTTCTTACACCTGGGGATTGAGAGCTCTTGCGCTCTATCCAAAGCATCTTTAAAGACCTGCCATCTTTGTTCTGCTCCCTTATCCCTGAGGGCAGTTTCCCAGGAGGTCCTACTCACTGAATAGCTGAAAGTTTGCTTTCTTAAAATTCAGGGTCCTGACCCTCAGAACTACAAACTCCACCAGTTCATGACCATTGCAGCCCAGACTGCTTCCAATCTTGACATTTCTGATTAGCTCACTTGTGCTGACACAATCAGGTCCAGTATTGCATTCCCTCTGGTAAGGCTGTCTATTACCTGGCTTAAGTTATCCCTGATGCACTTCAGGAGTTTCCTGGATTGCCTACAGCTTGCCATGCTACTTTTCCAGCAGATGGAGTGGTTGAAGTCCCCCAGCAGGATGACAGCCTGCAAGTACGATGCCTCCTGTAGCTGGAGTAAGAAGGCTTTGTCAATAGGCTCCCCTTGACTGGGTGGCCTGTAGTAAACACTATTCACAAGATTCCCTTTGTTGCTTTGGTCTCCAATTCTTACCCCCCAGCAGGATGACAGCCTGCAAGTACGATGCCTCCTGTAGCTGGAGTAAGAAGGCTTTGTCAATAGGCTCCCCTTGACTGGGTGGCCTGTAGTAAACACTATTCACAAGATTCCCTTTGTTGCTTTGGTCTCCAATTCTTACCCATAAGCTTTCAACCTACTTGTGGCTATTCTTCAGAGACAGCTCTTCACAATCTATACATTTCCTGATGTAGAGCACAAAACCCCTTTGCCTCTCCTTCCTCTCCTATCCCTTCTGAACAGCCTGTAGCCATTGATAGCTGCATTTTAGTCATGGGATTTGTTCTACCAAGTTTCAGGAATGGCAACTAAGTTGTAGCTTTCTAGCAGCACAGTGGCTTCCAACTCCTCCTGTTTGTTGCCCATGCCATGTGTGTTAGTGTAGAAGCACTTCACCTGGGCTGTCCACCATGTAACCTTCTTAGAGGAACACACTTTCGTTCCTTTGAGGTATTTTATGGGTGTTTCCCTGTTGGTTCCTATTACCTCAGGAGCCCCTGGCTCATCTCTGTAAGACTTTCAAGTGTGCTCCAGTGTAGACAGCATGTCTCAGAGCAACAGGCTCACTAGCATCCTGTCCCTCTAACCCTGGCCTGTTGCTTCACAGCTTGTCACAGGCAAGCCTGATGTTCCACTCCCCCTTCAAGTCTAGTTTAAAGCTCTGCCAATGAGCCCCACTAGTTTATGAGCAAAGACCTACTTCCCCCTTTGAGAAAGGTGAATCCCATCCAACACCAGCAGTCCTACTGCTGTGTAGATATTGCCACTATCAAAAAAACCCAACATTTTGGCAGTGACACCAGATACAGAGTTATGTAATAATAGACTGGGTCCATCTGTTTCTTCTAACATTGCTGCTTGCAACTGGAAGCATAGAAGAAAAAATAACCTGTGCTCCAGATTCCCTTATCAACCATCCCAAGGCCTTGAAGTGTCTTTTGATTGCCCCTGGATTATGTGTTGTGGCTTCATTGCTGCCCACATGGAAGAGAAATAATGTACCAGACTAGGACGTTTCCTAGTGATGTCCTTAACCTGTGCCCCAGGGAAGCAGCAAACTTTCCTAAGAGATGGGTCTGTACAGCATATTGGATCCTCTGTTCCCCTCAGAAAGGAGTGACCTACAGCTGTAACCCATCTTTTCTTCCTTGTTGAGGTGGTCATGATACAGGGGATAGGCCTTTCTGACCTCGGCAACACCTTTTGTGTAGATGGACCATCATCATATCAGTAATTGACTGACCTTCTACATCTAGAGCCTCATACCTGTTGTACAGAGGCACTTGGGAAGACAAGGTAGACAAGCAGGGGGCTTCCCTGCCATCTTGAGCATGGACTTGCTTCCAGACACTCCTTTCCTTTAAGCTACTGCCTTCTGCCAGGCAGTGGGAAGATACAGGATCCCCTTGATTTTTTTTTTTTTTTTTTCTGATTGCTGTTCCTGCTTCTGTCTCAGGGAGGGCAGAGGTTCAGTCGGCCTATCTTTTTCTCAAACTTCCTGATGCTCTTTAACCTTTCTACTTCCTCTTGCAGCTCTGCCATCAGACTGAGCACATGATCCACTTGGTCACACTTCACACAGCTGTTGTCACTACTGCAATCTATTGCCAGTGAAAGGTTCTGCATGTCCTGCATTAACATTTCAATAAAAGATGAAGGAAGCAGGAGGCCCTGTGAGTCAAGTCATAATGAGGATGTAAGATTGCACAGAAATGAGATGAATGAAGGGATTTCTGACTAACCTCAAGGTAAGCATGCATAGGTACAAAATAACCTCATCACAGACTGATTAGATGCCTCTAGGCAAGGGAATCAGGAAACAAAATAGTAATCCTGCTTGGCACTTTGAAGGTCTAGCTTCCCACAGCTAAAAGTAGTCATGAACCAGGCTGCTTGTGAGGAAATATTTCAATGAGACATCACAAGTGAAACCTGAGAATTGTTCAATAACTTAAATCTTTGAGCTTAAGGAACGAGATCTCCTCAATCACCAAAACTCTTCAAAATCTTACTTCAAGTAGGAAACCATCTTCATTAAGAAGAGGATTAGAAAACAATGATGAATTATAAATTCAATGTCCTAAACAGGCAGAGAAGGGGAAGAGAGCCTTATGGAAGTTAGTAAAAATGAGATGCAAACAAGAGCATCAAACATAACTTTGTCAGTACTTTGCAGACGATAATGGTCTGTGAGATAGTAAGTAAATAGAAGCAGGTCTCTAGCAAGGGGAGCAGGATTGCATGATAACTTAAGTGTGGTTAAATGACACGATCCTTTATTCAGCCAGCTACTTTGAGAGAAAACGCTGATTGCATTTGCAGGATGTCAGGGGAGGTCCTGGAAAAAAAGAAAACTGATCACCAGGCAATTCTAACTGAAATACCATGGGCTTAAGAGGATTATGTGAGCTTTGGAGGGGCCATAGGAGAATGATCATCATCACAGGAAGCTGATACACAGAATTAATTGACTGAATCAGGAGGTCAGAGTCAGTACTAGTTTTGACAAATGTATGGCAGAAGATCTGAAGAGTAGTGAATCTTATGCTCCAGAAAACACAAATTGGTGGAGGTCATAGAACAAGTTGTGGGGAGACTTAAAGTAAGTAGCACTGGGAAATCTGGTTTAGAAAACTTCAGAGTATGAGATGCAAAGGGGCCACAACATGCAAAGGACGTTAAGGGCCTGAATCAGGTGTCCAAAATTGCAAAAGAAAAATTTAACTATCACCTTTTCCTCTTGAGGTTGTGCTCTGACTGAATAACAAAAATCAATATGCTGATGTAAGAATTAAGTGAAATACTTAAAAAAAAATGTTGTACCCAAGACTTACAAGAATTTAAGGGAAAATGTAAGCTTACATATATCTGAGGCATGTGCCATTAATGCTTCATTGTTTGAAAATACCTAGATGACTACTATATCAGAGAATACAGAGATCAGATAACAAGAGGGACAACAGGAGCTGAACTGCATTTCTAAAACAGAGGTATTCCTGTTCAAGGCACACTTCTGTATTACAGAGAGGTGCCAACAATAATAGCAAAGGAATAGATATTTTAAAAAATAGTCCTACAAAAATATTTTTCATAAACCCTAGAATAGAATCTTAAAACTAGGTTAACAGATACACTTCTACTCAACCCAAAGTGAGGATACAAAACCAATCTGAAATTTACTGTTTAGACCATTAGACCAAACCAGGGTACAGTAGATGTGGCCTTTTATTTCTAGTTAACCTAGAATGTAAAAAGGATCAGGTTTGCTGTCTATGACAGTGTTACCTTGTTACCATCAAGTATCACCATCATCCCAGCAGTAAAATATGTCTCCAAACAGACCTATGAATAACCCATGCAAAAGTCAAACTTGCAGGAGTAATGCTAGTAAAAAAGGCAAGCAGGGCTGTCCCAGGCCTACTTGGAAGGGTAGGTTCCACATCAGACCCTATCCTGTAAGAAGCAATGGAAGGAAACAATTCTCTTTGCATTTTTACAGCGCATACCGAGGTCAAGGGGCTTCTTGTTCTCCTGTATGAAAAACCTGGTGGGTTTAACTAGATGACCTTTGAAGTTCCCTTTCAACATAAACCATTCTATGATTGAGTTCTATGAAATGTTAAATCCAACATCTGTGATGTACCCTGATCAGCCTAGGGCAGGTGTGGCAAGTTCAAAGCATCACTAAGACTGGAACAGTGCTCATTTCTTAAATCTGTAGATCTTTCATCCTTGATCCTGTGCTTTTTATTTTCAAGACTTGTAGCAGTAGTATACAGCTCCATCACAGTAAATCACATGAAGCCTTCCATCCATCTATGAAGGAAAAGGAATAAAAATCCCAAACAATACAGTTGCTTATTCAGCTTGAAGCAGAAGCAGCAGGAGAATTTCAAATCAGAACAAGGAAAAAAAAAAAAAAAAAAAGCTTATTTAGCTAAATGGGCACCAAATGAAGCATAAAAATCTCACAAGGTCCCCAATTTGCAAGGTCCTAATTCAGTGACTGTCACTATACATTATGTAGACTGACAGCCTCAAACTCTCTGGGTACCCTCCTGAGCTGAACCACTGCATCAACAGGCTGAATCATTTTCTCTTCTTGCACCAGAGAAGTCATGGCTTATCAATTAAATTTATTGTATTTTACTGACAAGTACTTACTTCAATGAAAGGGAATAGTCATGCTTGTTTGTTTGACTATTTCTTACAAGGTAGCTACACTCTTTACATAAACGCAACAGGTTTTCTGCATCTGTCCGACTGATTGCTCCATGATACCATCTAGGAAAAAGCAGAGATATTAATACACACACATAGTCTAACTCATACTTCTTTCACTGCTTTGTTTCTTTAAAGTATGAATAATGGTTAATATCACATGGATATCTTTAAGGTCTAATATATGGATAAAAGGCACATTGCTTGCATTATCTGATGTTAACTTTATAACTTGTGGAAGCCTGTAGCTCCTGGCAGCTGAAGGAAAAAACCTAGAAGATCAAGAGAGCATGCAACAGGATTGGTATACAAATTTATGTAAGAAATTCCCACTAAGTGCAACACTTTATCATTTCTGTGTTGCAAGCAGTAAAACCACAATGTACACATTTACTTTGTTTTACCCCTGTGATATACTAATATTTCAACTCACACATGAAAAAACAAAAAGAAAACAAACAAAATCAAACAAAAACAAAATCACATCTGAAGAACATAAACAGTTAATAGTGGAAAAGCTTTGCTAAAATAAATATTTGAAAAGAAGAAAAGTGATAAAGTGTGAAGATCTATAACAAAGATACTTGTTTCTAAACACAGCTCTGACAGCTGCTGAAGGTGGTGCTCTTTAGGGGTCAGTATTGGAACAAGTGCTGTTTAACACCTTTGTTGGACACAGGGACAATGCATTGAGTGCACCCTCAGCCAGTTTGCTGACAAAACCAAGCTGCATGGTGTGGTCAACACCCTGGAGGGAAGGGATGCCATTAAGAGGGACCTTGACAAGCTTAAGAGGTGGTCTCATGCAAGACTCGTGAAGACCAGCAACAACAAGGCCAAGTGCAAGGTCCTGCACAAGGGTCAAGGAAATCCCATGCACAATTGATTGAGAGCGGTCACATGGAGAAGGACTTGGAGATATTAGTGGATGGAAAACTGATTATGAGCCACCAATGTGTACTTGCAGCCCAGAAAGCCAGCCATATCCTGGGCAGATCAAAAGAAGTATGGATACCAGGTCAAGGTAGGTGACTCTCTCCCTCCACTCTACTCCTGTGAGACCCCATCTGGAGTACTCTGTTCAGTTCTGGGGCCCTGAACATAAGAAGAGGGCCCTGTACGAATGGGTCCAGAGAAGGGCCATGAAGATGATCAGGGGGCTGGCTGAAAGTGTTGGGGTTTTTCAGCCTAGAGAAGAGAAGGTTCCAGGGAGATCTGATAGCCACCTTCTAGTACATGAAGGGGGCCTACAGGAAAGATGAGGAGGGACTCTTTATCAGTGAAGGCAGAATTAGGATGAGGGGTAAGAGTTTTAAACAGAAAGAGGGTCATTGAAATTAGATATAAGGAAGAAATTCTTTACTCTGAGGGTGGTGAGACTCTGGAAGAGGTTGACCAGAGAAATTGTGGCTGCCCCTTTCCTAGAAGTGTTCAAGGCCAGGTTGGATGGGGCTCTGAGCAACCTGACCTAGTGGAAGGTGTCCCTGCCCATGGCAGGGGGATTGAAATTAGATGATTTTTGAGGTCCTTTGCAGTCCAAAACATTCTACGATTCTGTGAAGTCAGTGCGCTTTAAGTAAATCTCTGACTGATCTGTGGAGTGGGTGTGATAAATTCAGGGAAGAAAGGAAATGTGGAGAGGAGAGTTGGGTCCTTCACTAAATTGGTCACTGCAGACAAAGAACCTTCTCAGTACATGCTGCTCTGTATCAGCTAATAAAATCTCACAGTCTAGTAGTAAACTCTTTGATCCTTCTCCCAGGTTTCCCAAACAATGTAATAGCTCTTCACTGTGCAATCACATCTCTAAGGAAGATCTCTCCCTTCCTGCAGTTGCCAGATGCACTTTGAAGCATGATGTGACACTACTATGCCTGCCTAAGCAGGACAATGCACACATAAGAAGTGGTCTCTGGCTGTTATTACAAGGAACTGTCTCTGGTCTTGTGCAAAAAGATTTGTTCCATTTTTTCTTATTTTATTTCTCTGCTGAACTTACTCTAAGGAAGATGTTCTGTTTCTGAATTGCTTGGAGCAAAACAGGAAGTCACCAGATCTTGTATATAAGGCTGGGAGGGATTAATTTTCAATAAGACAATGGAAACAGCAGAACACACTTTCTTCTTTTCACTGTTATTGAGGAAATGGAACAAATTCATTTAGTTCCCCTGGGTCGATGAGTTCCTAAGTTGATAGTTACACACTCCTTAATCACATGTAAGTAAAAGTATTTTCTTGATATATTATCACACATTAGTATTTTTGCCTGTTTGGGAAAATTCCTGACTACCTACCTACTTGTCAACTTGCATGCTTACTTTCCTCCAGATCTTGTGCTCCCTTCCGCAAAAATAGACTCAATTTTTGTAGAGAAAAATTAAATGGTTTGTCAGGTACTGTGGAGAGGTCACACACTACTAAAACTTGAGCAATTTGAATAATTATGAATAATCTAAGGTACAATAAACCTAAACTCTTCTATTTTCTGACATATTATTGTTAACTGTGCATTCATTTCAGCTTTGATCCTGTATAATGAAGATACTTTAATAATTAAAGGAAGCAAAACTAGCTCTGCATTTTTCAGTTGTTATTATCAATCGCAATTACATATAATTACAGATACACCAAAAAAAAAAAAAAAAAAGAAAACTACACAACAATATATTTATAAGTCTAAAGTTAATCAGCAGATGCTCAACTTCCTACAGTATTTAATTGCATTTTGGGGGGATATGGTGGGCTGAGCTACCCAAATCTGAGGACTAAATTTTATTGTCAAATTTATATAGCCTTTGAGCCATTTATCTAACAGTATCAGTGAGTGATTTCACAACAGTGAAATTCCTCTGTTGAAGGTAAGTATACAATCTGTCAATGAGCAGATGGTTCATAGGCTGAAGTTGATTAGATGGAGTAAGACACCATGCAGATGATATTCTCTGTTTCAAGCTTAAGTTTCCAAATATTGAACATAAAAATAGAATGTCAAAGGAAAAGGAATTTCTGGAACTACCTTTTCTTGGACACAATTGACAGAGGGTATTCTCTCCCACTGAGGATGTGAAGTGCAAAAAGATTGCTAATACTCTCAGTACTGCTACCATTAAGGAACAAAGTATTCTCACAAAGAGCACACTTGCATCTCCTGTGAAAAATCTGTGAAAATAAGTTCTGTATCTAACTTGGAATGACAGTGCATTCAGGGATTCAAGACAGCTTCCTCACTTTACTGTGTGAATCCACTGGCTTTTTGGTGGTCACAAATATAACCTGTGTAAATTTCTCCACAGAAGATTTTTCTTGCTTTGTACCACAGGGGATTCTGGCTCCTTCTATAAGGCTGCACCTTTGGTATAACACAGGACAGTGGGCCATTCCATCACACAAATCAGTCTGTCCAAATGGATCAAGAAAGGGTAACATCAAGGCAGGACAGATGTCACCCTTGTGGATACTAGACATATACTCTGGGAAATTCTCCCAGAACTTGAGTTGGGAGCGAACAAAACTGTCTCTAAATACCACCCCCAAGTCTGACACCACCAGAGTAGAACTAACAGTCTCTTTTCTGAAAGCTTTGTAAGTTGTCTTATCAATCTTTCACTGGAGCAATATTATAGTGTCCTGGGTTGAGTGAGTGGTGGAGTTTTTTGGGGGCAGGGGAGGGGGATATAGGGGCGGCCCCCTGTGAGAAGCTTCTTGAAGCTCCCCCAGCTCCAAGTGAGCTCCACTTCTGTTTGGAAAATCGAGCCAATCAGCTGCGCCTCTGCGATAACATATTTAAGAAGGGACGTGGTGACGAGCAGTCGGACTTGTGAGGAGGAGTTGCTGCAGCTGCCTGAACACCAAAGTCAGTGGAGGAACGGAGGAAGAAAGAAGGGGGGAGGTGTGCCGGAGCAGAGACCCCCCTGTATCCTGTGGTGAGACAGCAAGGCGGCCCCCCCCACCACCCATGGAGATCTACCGTGGAGCAGACATTGATTTATGGCCTGTGGCTTCTGCTTGGTTGATCAAGGTTCTGTGCCCAAAGAAGGCCGGAGTCTCGTGGGAAAAGGTAGTCCCAATGCTGTAGTTCAGCGCTGGGAGGATTGCAGCATGCGGGGGTGTCCCACGCCGGAGAAGATTGGGAAGGGCTGCAGCCGTGGGAGGGAATCCAGTCGGAGAAAGTTAGTGACCCATGACGGAGCAGTGTGGGGAACGCTGCGGCCCATGGGAGGAACTCATGTTGGAGAAAGTTTGTAGAGGACTGTCTCCTGTGAGAGGGGGGACCACGATGGAGCAGGAGGAACAAGTTCCGGACACTCCCCTCACCAAAGATAAGGAAGTGGCGGCACTGACTGCACCCCACATTCCCTGCCCCTGTGCCACTGGGGGAGGAGGTAGAGATACAGGGAGCAGAACTGAGCCCGGGAAGAAGGGAGGGGTGGGGGGAAGGTGTTCTCAAGATGTGGCAATGCTTCTCACTGTCTTACTCTGTTCTGTGCTGTTAGTGTCTGTAATAAATGTATGTTCTTTTTTCCTTCCCCTAACGAGTATGCCTTTTGCTTGTGATCATAAAGGGGAATTTTTTCCCCATCCCAGTCCTATCTTGAACCCCAAGCCTGGCTCTCTGTCCCTTCTCATTGCCGGAGGAGACGGGAGAGAGAGCTGCTGCGTTGTGGTTGGCTGTCAACCAGGCCCAAACCACGACATATAGCCAGATGCAAGGCATCTCTGAGGTACTAGAAATGTGCTATGCAGTCACAAAGATACGGAACTTGTGTAGCTTTAAAGAGCAATTTGCATACATGTGATATACACCTGTTTCCCTAATGCAGTGCAATGAACATGGTTGAAAGTGGAATAATTGCACATACCTGGCCGATAATATTCACTGTTCCTAAGAGAAGTTTCCTGTTTAACACAATATTGTCCCCCACAAAAGTTACTTACACTTTGCAGGATTAATAAGAATAGTTTTTTTTGTGAGCACTACCACAGGGAATACTGAGGAGGGGGAGCTGAAAAGCAAGATCTGGGACACTTGCTGGTCTTGTAAGTGGGAAGGCAAAGAGCCAGAGAGCAATTACTGTGCTTACTTACATCTGTTTTTCCAGTTGAATAGTTGGATCTATTCTCTCTCCCAGCATCCCACAAAATTCTGGACTGCCATGTTTGATGGGTCTAAAGCCTCCTCCAGGTGCTCTTAACTGCCTCTGCTGGTCATTTGTGGGAGAAGGAGATGCTTGCTGATTTTCACGTCCATTAAATTGGGCTGCAAGATACACAATTGTTATAGGTAGATTAAGGCAAATCACATCCAAATATGGATTAATGAATCTGTATTAAGGTAAGAGAGCAAATGCAGCGCTGGGGTGGCCGAGGAGTCGCAGCTCCATCAAGGCTCACCAAATTGCTTAAGTTTCAAACCCCCTTTTATCCACACAGCTGCCAGTTTCAACATCTTCGGCACACCTCCTGGCTTCTTCTACAATCTTATCTTCTTCTTTCTTCTCCTCTCTCCAGCCTCCCATCGTGCTTGCGCAGTGCTCCCTGGTGGTCATGGGCAGGGGCCTTCAGATGAAGGCTCACAGTCTTCTTCACTGTGTTCGCTAGCTGACCCTTACTTCTGGGCAAACTCAGTCCTGTGGTGAGTACACCTTGTCCTTCAAGTCTGGGCTAATTTGCAGCTCCTTTGTCTTTATGGCTCAGTGGTTTCAGTTCCTCTCTTATCTCAAGGACAAGAGATTCCAGAGATGGCCCATTCTGTTCTTTCTCATTCCATTGCAAAGGAGTTACCGCCCTTTGATATGGACCATCTGGTGAGCATCCCAAGAAGGGGGGGCTGTTGGTTTGATGTTTCCTCAGATCAATTATCCCCTTTTCTTTTCCCAGTAGTAAATTCTTTTACTTTTCTTCAAATTTGGATCATTGTACTAATAATAGCTTTAGCCTAAAAAGCAATTGTTTAATTACTTTTAGCAAAAGCAAAATTCTTCTATTATTTATCACACAATAGTTACCTCTCCAGGCAAGGTTAACAAGGACCAAAATATTAGTAGCACTTTAGAGAGGTTTCACACTTCCCAGGGAGAATAAACACGCACCCACTAACATTAAGATGTAGTGGTTTATCTACAAAATTATAAGTATCATGTAAAGGTGTTTCTAACTATGCAAAATACAGTCCTAAAACTCTCTTGCTTTTCCAATAACAAAATCCACACTATTCTAAAGCTTGTTACAATAACTAGGGTTTATCTTAACATTTGATACTTTATTCACCAATAGATGATACTATTAAACAAGTAATAAACAGTAACAAAGTTAGGCTTTCTGTCAACTGCCATAATTACAATAACAAAGAAGTGAGAACATTCAAGAATCCAGTTTGCCTCAGTTTATGTAGAATCATCCTAACAGTGATCTGGATGCAAATCCAGACAGACAACACCCATTTATCCACATCAGAAATACTGGCAAGCAGCAATGAATTGAAAGTTTATCCACTTATACAATGCCGACACAAAGCTTTTGTCTTGAAACACTAGGGCACAAAGTAGTGAAAAGGGAAAATAACATTTGTTAGTTTCTCTCACAAACTATATTATTCCAAGAAAAGCAATATGACTTATTTTGCAAAGCTGTAATTTCTCAGAGCACTGCAACATCTGTAGCAAAGCACATACTACTGATGTCAGCATCCTCACTCTACGCTCCCTACATTTACACTTACAGATTCTACATAATTAAAAAAAATAAAAAAAGAGAGACACTATTGACAGAAACAGTGAAAGGAGCTACTCACACCACCTTCCTGACACTCACTGCCTTCTATGGTTTGCTTCTTCATCAGAAACTAACACTCCCAGCTGCAGATGGATTATTTTTTTAAGGTCATTTGATGGGGAACCAGGCAGAAAAAATTTCACTGTATCAGAGGCAAACGTCACAATGTGCATGAACACATGATATAGGGAACTAACGATCTGCTTTGTCCTTGAACATTCTTTTGAAACTCATCTACTAAAGACTGGTGCTTGTCTAGGATAAAGCTTATCAGGGCTGGCAATCTTCAAGGATAAATGTGTCAAACACAGGAAGAGATAACAGGGATAGCTGTGATGGGCTGACCTCACCGCAAAACTGGTTAAACTCCTCAAAAGCTTCTGAGATCACCGAACAGGAAGAGACCATATTCGTATGTATAGTTTCGTTGTGTAATTCCATGAATATGTATACCTGCACTGTACAAATTCCTGGTAAAATGTACTGTTGGTGTGCAAGCTAGGAAGAGTGATTTCCCTTGCACCCAGCGCTTCAATAAACATACCTGCTGTATAACTCTTTGTGAGTTGCAAAGTTTGTTTCCACACATCACACACACAGCACAATCAGTTCCTCTGTAAGTTTCAACAGCAGTATCAGAGAAAATGTTACATTGACAATTAAAGGTACTCCCTACAATAGCATGTTGTAGATCTTGTGCATGTAGAACTCAACTTATAACACACAACCAGTTAGGGATGTGGCTGGTAGTTGTATAGCATTGTTTTAAAGCAGCACTGTGCAACAGGAAGACAGCTGTAATGTTCAGAAAGATAATGCATACAGAATAGAGATGTGTTGGATGTGGAAAGTGTTTTGGAGCTTTTTTAAAATTATTTTTATTTTTATATGTTTTCCTTATGGGGGTTAGACTTCCAAATTCCCCCTCTATTCAGAGAAAGCAGGCATAAATTATTGCAAAAATTGGGTAAATTTTTGCCCAATCATATTCTGAAGCATGTATGGCAGAAATATGCTGGTGATATATTAAAATGGATACTCAGGTTTAATTTCATTACTGAATAGTGAAAGCTGATTAGCATAACAAGAAGAAACATTGCATATGTGTACTTGCCAGTGATATATTTAAACAGCACTATTATTTCAATGGTAAGAAAAACATCTGGATGTAATTTGGAAACTCTGTGAAAATTGGTGAACTTAATGTCAGCTTCTAACTGAGCAACATCTTTCAGACACCAAAAAATTCAGTTCGCAAAACCCCCATGAAACTCAGTTCTGATTGTAAACAGCAATATCTTTACCACATAATGGTTAGGAGTAGGATCTGTTCTCCAAAAATAGCATAAAGTTAAAATTAATATGTTTTTGATTTTTTTCTCTGTGTGAAAACCTCAGACATGTTTCCGGACCACTGCTTTCTTTGTTTTTTTTATTCCTTTTTTTTTTTTTTTTTGGTGTGTGTGCGTGTATCTGTGTGTGTGTCTGTGTGTGAGTTAAATTGATAAGAAGAAGCAGTATGAAAGGGATATCCAGGCATATTAAACTGACAATTGTGATAAACAGTCAGGCACCAACCCACACAATGTTGTTATGTTGTTATCAGGAATCAGTTTCAGCTGCTATAAATCCTCTCTTAACTAAATCTTTAGTATATACAGTGAAGGTTCAGAAGCTCAGATCCATGCAGCTGCGAGTGCAAAGTTTTTTATTGTTATGGTACTTCTGTTTACATGCAGCAGCTGTGTGAACACCAAGGTCAGTGGAGGAACGGAGGAAGAAAGGAGGGGGGAGGTGTGCTGGAGCAGAGACCCCCCCTGTATCCTGTGGTGAGACAGCAGGGAGGCCCCCCCACTGCCACCCACGAAGATCTATGGTGGAGCGGACACACATTTACGCCCTGTGTTTCACCTGGTTGATCAAGGTGCTGTGCCTGAAGAAGACCGGGGTCTTGTGGGAAAAGGTAGACCCCATTGTTGTAGTTCAGCACTGGGAGGATTGCAGCATGTGGGGGTGTTCGATGCTGGAGCAGCTCAGGAAGGGCTGCAGCCTGTGGGAGGGACTCCAGTTGGAGAAAGTTGGTGTCCCACAACGGAGCAATGTAAGGAAATGCTGCGGCCCATGGGAGAGACTCACATCAGAGAAAGTTTGTGGAGGACTGTCTCCTGTGAGAGGGGGAGCACGATGGAGCAGGGGAAACAAGTTCCAGAAGCTCGCCCCACCGAAGTTGGAAGAAGTGGCTGCACTGACTGCACCCCCCATTCCCTGCCCCTGTGACGCTGCAGGCAGGAGGTAGAGATATTGAGAGCAGACCTGAGCCTGGGAAGAAGGGAGGGGTGGGGGGAAGGTGTTTTCGAGATGTGGCAATGCTTCTCACTGTCCTACTCTGTCAAGTGTTGTTGTTAGTGTCTGTAATAAAAGTATGTTCTTTTTTTCTTCCCCTAATAAGTCTGCCTTTTGCTTGTGATCATAATGGGTGATCTGCCCCTCCCAGTCCTATCTCAAACCCCAAGCCTGGCTCATTTGTCCCTTCTCATCGCTGGTAATGAAGGGATGTGTGAGCGGCTGAGTGGTGCTCAGTTGCCCTCTGAGCTCAAACCATGACTGCCTTGCATGAGTAATTAAATTTCATGATAATTCTAGTGTTGTCGCCATTTTGATTTGTTTCCTAGGTCTATCACATGAGAAATCAAAAACATTTGTTATACAAGTCTCTTTGCATCTGCACTTCATAACACATATGTTTGTTGTTCACCTCATAATACTTTTTAATTAAACTTTTTAGTCTTTTTAATTAAACTTTTTAGTACTTTTGTAAAGCAGTATTTTAATTTAGTGTTTCCATAAGAGTTAACTACATAATGCTGAGGAAAATATTTACACAATGGCCAATTATAAAATCTCATATTGGATGGATTGTGCTATATTAATTTACAGTTACGTGTAGACAAACTAAAAACTACAGATGAAGAAAAAAAAATCAACATAACTAAGATTCTTTTTTTTTTTTTTGAAATCAACACTCAAAAAATTATTTCAAAATTCTCCCTATAAAGACCAAAAAAGTGATCATGAAGGTGGTTACAGAGCTCAAAGACTTAACAAACACCAAATGAGTTGTGTGCAAAAAGGTATGCAGTAGAAACTAATAAATTTGTTCTCTGGGTTCAATGAATTAAAAATCAGACCTTTTATATAATATGCACAATACATGAAGAATAAGGTCTAAGATCTATATTACTGATAAAGATGCTAAAGAAGGGGTTCCAGAACAGGAATCACAGTTGTAACTAGACTCCAGGAATAATATTAATCACTAAGCACTACCCTTTGAGGTCAATGACCCTGACAGGTTTTCATGTATCTAACAGTCTATCCATCTAGGCCACAGCATTCCAAACCAAGAAACACAGCTAACACCACAGCATAGCATGTTCAAGGCTAAAGTTGACACGGATGACGCCAACTGCTCTCATTCCATTAGCAGATCTAGTAGTTTCAATGCAGAAAACACACAGGTTTGTCAAGCAGGACCGCACACTGACTACTAATCACTGGTCACAGGCTTCTTCCATGCTCCCTCCTAGAGCCACATTTCTTTTCTTCTTTCCTCATATCCACAACCATCACCACACACAACTCTTCTTTCCAAACCTTCTGCCAAGCTGACTCCTAAAAAGGAAGGGGAACAACTCTGCTCCTAGACACAGCTTTTCATTAGAACATGCCATTGACAGGAAAAATCACAGAGCATGTATGGCTAGCACCCCACAATAGCATCTGGAAACATGGTCAGACCAACTGATACAGCTGGACTTTGCTGGACACACAGAGACTATACAAAAGAAAAAGCCTTGGCCTTTAGAATCACATCCTCACTAAATGAAGCTCCCCTCAGCCTTTTCTGCAAAGCAACAGAGGGAAAAAAAGGAGCAGTGTAACTAACACCAAGTACAGACATTCACAGAGACAGAAAACAGTTTGTGTCATGTCTCCTGGCAAGTTCTGATGTGGGAAAGCTTCAGCAGTTCAAAAGGATTAATCCACAACCAAGTTCTACATAACCATAGAAATGCTTGCAACCATAATGAAAATACTCCAAGCACCAAGAAACTCATCACTGAGAAGAAGCATGTTACTGCATGCACATTACACCGCTATTTTTTGTCCTGCACCTTTAAGAACTGTCCACCATTTAAGGAACTTGCAAAGCAACTCCCTCATCATAGAGCCTCTCAACAATAAACACTATCTACATCATGTCCATTAAAATGGGGGTAGGGGCAAGGAGTAGAAGAAACAGAAGTTTTACTAACATGAATCAAATATTGAGATGGTTGACAACAGGTCAGTTGAAGCACCAAAAAGAGTTCAATGTTCCACATTTCTGCAGCAGATAAAGATTTGAGACTATCCATATTTGCTTTTCAGAGATCTGCCCCTCAACACACACACCAAAACAGCAGAAATACTAGATAGAATTCTCCCAAAAGCAAGTACATATGCTATCAGTATGAGAGAAAATGTGCTGGTTGGGATCTAGGAATCCTACCTGCCAGAGCTGGGATGGTGATTTTGTTCCATTCCCATGGTTGATCATACTCATCTTCAGGCCTGTCATCATCCTGTGGCAATTTGCTTTCTCGTAAACAGTGACACACCACACTTTCAGAACTGGATTCCACACCACTGCCTTCTGGTTCATAGGGTGTGTCGTAGAGCTGCATGTTTTTCTGATGGGACTTCATGCCTTCCTGCTTCTGAAACTCTGTTGGCAAGAAAGAAAATTGAATGAGCATCACTACTAACCATGCCTTAGTATCACAGTCAATAATTTTAGAATATTCAACTTCAATCCATTCCTTAATAGCCACATAATTATACAGATGGCAAGCTTGTACAAGACTTCTAAATTCTACCTCTACCTTTGGTAACTGGCTAGAAGCAAAAGCCGGCTCCCGCTAACCACCACAGCACAATCAGCCTCATGTCTCCACCAACATCTTTCAGCTTGCACAGAGCGAGATTACATGAAGCACACAATCCCTGTCAGCCTGTGTAAAGCACACTTACAAGCAACTGTACATAAATCCCTAAGAATGCTGAAATTTCTGTATGCAATTAACTCTTCAAGAGGACACTGTTCAGAAGTGCAATTAGAAGATACAAAGATAAAAAAAAAAAAAAAAAAAAAAAAAAGAAATCCCACAGTATAATTACATATGCTGATAAAAAAAATCTCTGCAGTTACCTCTACAGAATATTAGCAGAAAATGAGCTAGGACTAGAGTAAGAGCACTAAACAAAAGCACTGGTAACTAAAGCTTAGCAGACATTGTATTAAAGAACACTTAAATTAACACTAACCTTGTCAGAAAATAAGCATGTTGAAGCTTCACAGAAAGGAACAGTGTACTGCCCTCCTGGATACAGCAAACCAAAACCTGGGCTTTGTTAGGAGGTGCACAGCTAGCAAATCAAGGAGAAAGCTGTCATGCCTTCACCCTTGGCCCCAAGGAGGCTATACCCACCAACAAGTGGGTCCTACTGTGTCCAGTCTGCACACTCTCTACAAGGAGTGTCCAAGGAGTAAACTAGTTAATAAAACTAGAAAGGAGACAATGCAGAGCTACCAAGATAGCAAGGTCCTGAGGCCTATGATAAGGAGAGGTGGTTTTGGTTAGTCTGATGAGGGGAAGGTCAAGGGGGATATAACAGCAGCTCTCAGCTGCCTGAAGGGCAGTCAGAGCCAAAACTTTCTTGGACAGTGTCAGAAGATGCAATAAGAAGAAACAGATCCCAGATGTAGCTTGAGAGATCCAAGTGGGACATTGAGGGAACCTTCTCTCCCTGGTGTGTTGTGCAGCCCTAGGACAGGTCACCAGGTAGGTTGTGGGACGTGTCTCCATTCTCCGGAGTTTGCAGTCCATTGCCTAGACAAACACAGGGTCACTCCATCTACTGATACAAAACTGCATGAAGTGGGCGATAGACCAGGTGGCTATGCTACCATTCAGAGGGATCTGGAGATTCCGGAAAATTGCAGGCTAACTGGCTGGAAAGCAGATCAGCAGAGAAGGACTTTGGGGTCCTATATGACAGCAAGTTGAATACGAGCCAGCAGTGCACCCTCACGGTAAAGAGGGCTACTATTAAGCTGGGCTGCATTAGAAGGAGTGCTGAAAGCAGGTCATGGGAAGTGATTCTTCCTCTCTACTCAGCCAGCACTGGTGAGACCACATCCGGACTGCTGGGTTCAGTGCTCTCACACCTCCCCAGTACAAGAAAGACATAGGTATATTGAAGCAAGTGTCCTTTCATCCTGAAATTCCTATCATGCAATGGGTTAAAAGCTCTCCTAAAACCCATCGAATTGGGCATGCTCAAGAATCAAGTATCATAAAGTGGAAACGGTATATTCAGGACAGGGCCAAGGTAGGGGTTGGTGGAGTAGCTACCCTCCACGAGAGAGTAGCTACTGCCCCCACAGGTGATCAAGAAATGAACCCTGATTTCACAGTTGAACGGGAATCCCCAGTACGAGGGGGAAAAGCTTTCGACCAACTCACACGCTCTGAAAAGGAACATGCTTGGTTCACTGATGGATCAGCTAAGTATATAGGAGGGAAGAGGTTTTGGAAAGCAGTAGCTTACTATCCCCATCTAGAAAAATTTTTAGAAACTACAGGAGAAGGGAAAAGCAGCCAGTATGCTGAATTATATGCAGCTTATATGGCCTTGAAACAAGAAGACCTAGGAGAATGTCATTTATATACTGACTCCTGGTCAGCAGCTAATGGGTTAGCTACTTGGCTGCCAACATGGGTAGCCAAAGATTGGAAAATATACTCCAAAGAAGTCTGGGGAAAGGAATTGTGGAAGGATATTTGGGAAATAGTAAAGAAGACTAAGGTGTCTGTGTTTCATGTTGATGCTCATAGTAATGTGGACACTTTAGAACGACTTTATAACTCTGTTGTAGACAACTGGGCAAAGATTTCCCAAGCTGGATTAGAATTCCCTCAGAAGGATGATCGTGAAGGCTTGGCAAAATGGGCACACCAAAAGTGTGGGCACCTTGGAGAGAAAGCCACTTACAGGTGGGCCCAAGAGCGTGGCATGACAATGTCACTGGATATGATCAAAACTATAATCGCCCAGTGCCCCGTGTGCCAACATACTCACAAAAGTCCAGTGCCTAATATTGTGAAAGGACAACTGGGAAGAGGAAAATTGCCCAGACAAATTTGGCAAATGGATTATATCGGACCTTTACTCCAGAACCTAGGGTGTAAATATGTCTGCACTGCTGTAGATACATATTCTGGATATTTGATTGCCCATCCTTGTAAGAAAGCTACTCATCATCGTACTATCTGTACTATAGGCATAATCATTTTGTACTATGGAATTCCACTGCAGATTCAAACTGACAATGGGTCTTATTTTCGAAACAAATTTGTTCAAAGGTATGCTGAGCAGCAAAATATGCAGTGGGTTTTTCATATACCATACTATCCACAAGCTGCAGGATTGATTGAACGAATGAATGGGTTGTTGAAAGAGCAGTTGAAGAAGTTAGGAGATGGGAACCTAACCCGATGGAAAAACTCATCTCACAGATGCGCTACATATCCTTAACAATAGGCCCATTGGGGAAATGGAGACCCCTTTGATGCGCATGACTACACCCAATTTACAAATAAAACCTCTGACAGTAAGTGAGACTTTGACTTACTGGGAAATTGTTCCGGGTGCGATGGCCCCTTACCGGGCCACTCCAGAGGCTGCAGGGCTAGATCTCTATGCATTGGAATTGATCAGGATAAACCAAAAACAGATGAAAGTTATCAATACTGGGATAGGAATTAAAATTCCTCCAGGACACTTTGGTTTGATAACTGCCCATTCAAGCCTAGCCTTGAAAGGTATTCATGTCATGGGAGGAGTGACTGATACGGATTATCAAGGAGAAATTAAAGTAATTCTGTTAAACAATGGTGAACAAGATTTAATTATTCATCCCCATGACAGAATAGCACAACTATTGATATTGCCAGTTTTGAAAGCAATTGTGAAAAAAGGGGATCCACCTCAAGTCACCACTGTTCATGGAGATAAAGGGTTTGGATCAACTAATTTCAATAACGGAGCTAAAGTATGGGTCCAGAGTTCAAGCGGACCTCCTGAACCAGCTGAAGTAATAGCCACAGGAAAAGACAATACTGTTTTAATCATGAAACCTGGACAGGAAAAATGGGAATATGTTCCTGCAACTAAATGTTATCTGCGAGAACAACTAGATGTCTCAAGATTCTATACTTTAGATCCTGCTAAGATGGATTTGCCTGTGTATCGTCATGGTCCATTTGGGAAAGGCTTTCACACCGGGATGGCCACTGAGAGACACCGCTTAGGTGGCAATGGAAAATTGCAACCAAGACAAGACAACAGGATGATTTCCGATGCAAAGCAAATTCTGCCTGTATCATAGCCAATCTTACTTTCAGTACTCAGTATAACGAAACATGTACATACTGGTGGCGTTCAGGACCAGCATCACGATGGAGAGATCGTGGACGTCTTTTTGTAACCTGTCCTACAGATAATTCAACTGTCACTATATCTAGTAAAGTATCTCTTAAATGTTGTAATGTATCAGGTCTACCCAGTTCGAAAGATTATTACAAATGTGTTAATCGAACAGGTGGTCATGAGGTGAATGCTGCTCATGCAATAACCCTTCCCATGGAAGAAACAGAAACACTAATATGCCATAATAATTCAGTAATGAAAAATCGGTTACACTGGGGAGACTTCTTTACTATGTTAAAATCTAAACCTCATATTTCTGTTGATCATTTCTACCGCATTCCATCTACTTGTGTTCAAGTAGCTCAACAATATCAGAAACATGTTATTCATTTCAATATTTCTTTCCCCCTCCTACTATCATGTAGATGGAAAAGGGCATGGTGTGCCACCCTGTTAGGAGGAACTGGAGCAGGAATGGGAGTTTTAAATTCTATTGATATTGAAACCTTAACAAACAAAGTAAAGAATGCTGGTTATGATGTGGCAGAAGGAATTAGGTTGCAGGCTCAGTGGCTTCCAACTACCTTTACCCCACAAATTGGGTCACTGAACTATGATACAGAATTTTTAAAGCTCTTCAATAGGACTCAAATTAATCAGTGGCATGTTGACCACAACATTAGCCAGATTATGAATTGGACAACATGTACACTGCAGACTTTACATGTCCTTATGCAACGAAACAAAGCTCAGAGTGACTTAACGGCTAATAATGAGCTGTTATGGAGAAACATATTTAAGAAATGGATTCCTTAAACCCATTGGGTCAAATTATCTCCACAGACAGTGCAGTGCACAGATGTATTCTGTGCTGGTCAAATAGTCCACTACGATGTTAGCCAACCTGAAGTTATGTGTAAATTTCTAGTACTGCCTGTAATTTTTGGGGAAAAACTACCCTATGAACCAGAATATTGGCTGCCTCACTTGGAGGGAGATTATATAGACTCTAGGAATCGAACCCATAAATTAGATTTGTGTACATCCACAGCAAATGGTTTATTGTGTGGACAAAGCTCGCGGTTATATGAACCATGTTTATTGGAACATTCAGTGAATCTGTGTAAATGGACAATCTTGCTCAAAAGCTTTGATATGTTTGTAGAAATTAGTGCTAAGCATGTTTGTATCGTGACAAATGATAAAAATATTATAGAAATGTATAATCTAAGT